TTCAAAAGAATGGGAATATATTAGAAAGCAAATGGAAAGGTTGAATGATGTTAAACGTGAACAAATTAATTCGGGGCTCATGAATTTTAAACAAGGGGATAAAGTTTTGATTCATCTCGATTATGGAAAAACTGATAAATCAATGACAAAAAGAAGACGAAGATTTGACACAATAGCTGAATTTGTTAGATATATTAACGGCAATGCATTAGTTGAAGTTGACAATAAATTAATTGAAATTCCGATTTATTTTATTACTCCATTATATTTAAATAATATTTAATTTTTTTATTTCGTAAGAAATGAGTGACAACGAAGCAGTCAAGAGTCCTGATTTAATTAAGATTCAGAGTCCTGACGATGAATATAAAGAAACTAAACAGAATTAAATCAAAAATATGCTATTACAAAAAGAAGCCACAATGCGGTGGGGTTGATGCCCATAAACTAAAGTAATTGAAAACGATAAAGAGAAGAAGGAAATAATTGAAAAGTTAGAAACTTACCATTCAATCCTTAAACTGAGTGAAGCAAAAATAAAAGAATTTAATAGAATAAATAAATTGATTGGAAGAGATGAATTTAATAAAGATGAATTTTTAAACTCTATCCAAATTTAATTTTTTCAGTGTCACCATGTCACCAGGTTAATTAACTTCTCTGAAAAAATGAGACAACATGACATTTTGACAACATCACAGGAGGAAGGCAGTTATGACTTATTTTTGAAGAACTGAAGGTGCTACCATGTCACCATGTCACCAGGTTAATTAACTTCTCTGAAAAAATGAGACAACATGACATTTTGACAACAACACAGGAGGAAGGCAGTTATGAATTATTTTTGAAGAACTGAAGGTGCTACCATGTCACCATGTCACCAGGTTATTTAACTTCTCTGAAAAAATGAGACAACATGACATTTTGACAACAACACAGGAGGATTAATGCAAAAATAAATTCCAATCATACTTTATAAAGCTTCATTTACAGGTATTTCATCGTCAGTAAATGAATCCTCATTATCGTTTGGTTCAACCTGTTTATATAATCCTTTCATTTCTTCTTTCAAAACATAACACCATGTTTGTTTATCGTCTATTCTTCTATGTTTCCTATCACATTTATCCTTAATGCTCATTTGAAAGTTTTTGTCTTTCATGTCTGATGGTTTGCAGAATAGAGCATTTTTACACGTCATACCCGCACACAATTCATCATAATGTGTATTTATCCATACATCTAAAGGATTTGTTGATAATTCAATTAAATCTTGTTTGGCTTCAGTCATCGGTATGATTCGTACATTAAATGATGAAAGGTCATATTGCATAAAATACGTCAGTAAATTATCATAAAATTCCTTTGTGCATGAATTCATCAAATTCTTGAAGTAATCAAATTGACCCTTAAATTTACCATTAACTCTTAAAACTACGTATCTTCTGTCTCCAACTTCAATTTTGACAGGGTAGACGTTTTGTCATGATTTCATCGTAATGAGTGTAAATGACCCAAAATATATTTTAGGGTAGAAGGGTAGATCTAACCTCATTTCTAACCTCTTTTCTACCCTCTTGCGATTTTCATACGGAATCTCTTCTCTCGGTTTTCCGAGGGAAGCAATCATATGAGGAAATTCTTCTAAAAGTTCTTTTGTCTGTTGGTTTTCAAACCAATGATATGCTTGCTTTGTAGAACGAAGAGCATTCATTATACTTTGCATTTGGTACATGTCATCTTTGACCGAACGAATGAGGCGAAGTTGTTTGTTATATTGTATGTATTCGTATTCTTCATTTATGGCTTCATGAACGATAGCAGTTGTTGTGTTCTCTGATGTTGACATTACTGTCATTTCATACAAAATAACAATAATTTTAAAACTAACTTTATTTTCTGACTTTCACAAAAGACCAAAAATAAACGCTTTACATGTATTTTTCAGCAACTTCGTCAAATAATTTTATAGCTTTATCTATCTCATCTACTTCAAACGTTTCTTTACCTTTCATGGGAGCACCATACATTTTCTCAAAAACTTCAAGCAGTTCTGTTTCAGCAGCTCTCATATCATTAACGAACACAACCTTGACTCTATTGACTGTACTGTCATATCTTTGAGTTATATTATATGTTCTTCCTATCTTATATCTCTTTGTATTGAAGTCCTTCGGTTTCTGAACGATGTAAAGTAAGCCTTCACTGCAACGTTCTGAGTCGAATGAACCATAAGTTATGAAGTTATATCCAACAACTGGTCTAACCATAACAAAACTATTGGTATAAGACTTTTGTCTATAAGATATGCTCTTGTTCCATGAAATGCTACTGATATCATAAGCTCAGGATTTCTTGTCAAAATTTTCTGAGTAGAAGCAATTCTAACCCAGTCCTTTGTTTTCTTTCCAGATGGTGTTATAATGTCTGACAAAGAATATTTGTTGTATTTCTTTGAGTATCTTACGTTTAAATCACCTATTCTAACCACTTTGGTGTCATTGTCAATCTTTCTAACTGTTTCAAACTCAATGTTTGACATTACTGTCTTTACATACAAAATAAAAAATTTTCTTAGAAAAAATTAGCGTTATTTTTCTAACTAATGAAATTCATGAAATTTGGTCATTTTTCAGACAAAAATAATGTTTAGGGTAGATGGTTAGATCTAACCTGATATCTACCCTCATTTCTACCCTCAAGATTTACAAACGTTTAACGTGATATACGTTATGAATTCGTGAAATTTTAAATATTTTTGTAGCTTCTATTTCTTCAGTTAATATATCAAAACTTTTAACAATGCCGAAAGTTTCTTTATACTTCTTCTTGACATCAGATAAAAGGAAATCATCAGCTGTGGGATAGTTTTTATTAAGAAATGTCAACATGTCCATTTTATCTTCTGCTGGCTTTTCTGCTTCTTTCTTTAAGTCTGCGTAATCGTTTCTCATTCTTTCTATCTCTTTTAGTGAGTAGTTATATTTCCTCATTGCTGCTTTACATTTTGAGCATTGCGGATTCATTTTTGCGTTATACATTGAAACATTACCAGCTAAAATAACTAAAGCATCAATGGCTTTCTTTAAATCTGAAGCAGTTGGTTTTATCTGTTCGTTCCATACTTTGCCTCTTCTGTCTTTATCTCTTATCTGCCACACACATTCAGCAGCTAATGAAACAAAGTTATCGTAAGTCTTAAACTCCTCAGATTTATATATGTCAGAAATGTTTTTATAAACCATGTCGCAATCTTTGTTCATAACTTTATGGTTGCAATGAAAACCAAGGAATTCATAATTTACTTTACGTATGAACTTCTTTATTTCTACTGAATCAGTAACTTTAACTTCAATTTCATCGAATTCAGGAATAGTTAGTTTTTGTTGCTGAACTTCCGGTAATTTAGGCAAATGGTCTCTGATATCTTGCATTTCATATAGCTCCTCTCCATTTGTTTCATCTTTCGCACTACAGTCTAAATTACTTGTTAAAAGTTCTTGCTTAATTCTTTGTATTTCTGTCTCAAAAGTATATGAAGAAGGAATGAAGCTTTTCATCTCTACCAACATTGACGTAGGATTCATGATTAATGAATTTGGTGCCGTAGTTGTGGACAGAGTCCCGCCGTTCGTGGCTTGAATTGTTGTTGTGCCGATTGTTGAAATCATATCTTTTATACAAAATAAAAAAATAAAAATAAAACTAACTTTATTTCTTCTGTCTTAAGGAAATTCATGAAAATTCATGAGGGTAGAAATGAGGGTAGAAATGAGGTTAGATCTAACCATCTACCCTAAACATTATTTTTGCTGAATTCAGCAACAAAATGAACGAGGTCAGGATGTATGTAAATACCTTTGAATTCATTTATAACGCCCTTAGTAAGCTCATAAAATGCTTGTTTTGAGGTGGAGCCAAAAGTGGCTCGACCGTATTCTTTCAACCAAAACTCAGGAATTCCTGCATGAATTTTGTATAAAAAAACAACAGTCTGAATTCCGGCGGTTGCTATATTCTTCACAAAATGCCTTATAATACTCTTCCCAGGACTTATTTTCCAACAACTTTCTAAAGTCTTTCCTAAACTGACTGACTGACTGACTGACGGCACAAAGTGGCTTAACGAAAACATTAATATATAAAATTCATGAAAATTCATGAGGGTAGAAATGAGGGTAGAAATGAGGTTAGATCTAACCATCTACCTTAAACATTATTTTTGGGTCATTTACACTCATTACGATGAAGAAGTCTTGACAAAGCATATACGATAAAATATATTTCCTCCTGTGTTGTTGTCAAAATGTCATGTTGTCTCATTTTTTCAGAGAAGTTAAATAACCTGGTAGCACATGGTAACATGGTGACACCTTCAGTTCTTCAAAAATAATTAATTATTGAATAACCTGAAACCATTAACGTAAACATGAGACTTTGTCTCCGGACTCTTTGAGTCACTTAACGTAAACATTAACGTAAACATTATTTCTGCAGTTCATCCATTACTTCATTACCTAATTAATTACAGACATAAAATATATTTAGTTCATTCGGTAAGCCTAAACCCTTTGGGTCAAGTCTCAAGCACATTCAATGAACACGGTAAGCCTAAACCCTTTGGGTCAAGTCTCAAGCACATTCAATGAACACGGTACCATGCGAATACAGTCACAAATGGTGGCATGTAATCTTTACCCGAGCCTGTTGGATTTGTTGTGAAAGTGTGTGAATGATTACCTGCAGTTCCACAGAAAATACCTGTGCTGGAATCTACTGGGTCAGTTGTGATATCATATCTATTCATTCCCCATCTATCCGAACCCGCTGCAAGATTTGTATAACCTCGTTTTGTTATTGAATGTGAATGATTACCTGTTGTGTTTGTAGTTCCTGTATGAGTGTGTGGTGGAAGGTTTGCTTCTTTAATTTTCTTCGAACCTCCTGTTTGCTTTGAATATCTAGCACAGTATAAGAATTTATCTACAATCTGCTTCCACGTACCAAAACCTAAAACTGTTGATGGATTTGTTGAGTTCATTGACGTATAAATAGAACCAACAGGATATAATGTTTGAAGTATTTCATTTTTCATGCTTGTAATCACATCATTTACTTCCGACTTCTTTGCATAATTTTCATCAACATAAGTTTTATCCGCCTTAAGGTCTAAACATCCTGAAACCCATCCTGTATCAGCTTTAACTTTAAAAGTCTCCGATGTCCATTCATGATACCATTCAACCTTTTCTTTAATTTCATTATCTTTTTCATCAACATAAGTTTTATCCGCCTTAAGGTCTAAACATCCTGAAACCCATCCTGTATCAGCTTTAACTTTAAAAGTCTCCGATGTCCATTCATGATACCATTCAACCTTTTCTTTAATTTCATTATCTTTTTCATCAACATAAACCAAATTTGCCTTCTTCTCTAACTCAGTATTAACGTATTCCTTATCCGCCTTCTTCATTATGTCATTTAGGAAACCTTCTATGAATTCCTCATTTAAATTAAATCTTCCAATCTTCAAAACTTTAGGAAATGCATTTAATGCGTAATATCTCTGTTCTTCTGGTGGAATTGATGTTATATCATCCGTTATTCCTTTAATTTTTGAATTCATAAATAAAATTTCTTTTATATTTGATATCACTGCACCACCTTTGCAAACGAATTCGAAATGGTCATTTTTCAATACTATCTCCAAATCTCCATATTTTAACCTTTGCGTTTGTTCTGCCGTCTTTGAATTATATGCATACATGGCGTATGTAATGGTCTGAAGGACCTGGGTGCTTTGCGCCTTAAGTTGTTGTGGTTTAATCATTTATTATGATTTAAAAATAAATATTTAATCCGTTATCTCATCAGCTATTTTCTCTATTTGAAATTGCCATAATATTTCATTCATGAATTCTAAATCACAATCAAATAGGTCAGTTATTCTAAATTTAATATTTGATAAATCTTTTGAATGAAGAATAAATGAATTCCCAGATAATTGAAACGGATATGATAAAGAAAATGTGTTTAAGTTGATGGATAAAATGTTTTGTATTGATGGGTAAGAGTTAGGGTCTAATGTTTGATGTGAAAATCTCATTGGGGTATTAACTTTATCACATTTGATTAAAATGAAATTGGAACCAGTGTCAGAATACAAAACATCCCCAACATCTTTTTCAAAATTTAATATTCCCAACAATGAACGAAGATGAGGAGTACAAAATTTAATTTTCAGCGGAAATTTAATAAGGTTATTTATTTCATCAAGTTCAAAAAGTTTATCAGGTTTTGATTTAAAATTTTCTTCATACTATACGATAAATGATTCATTTAAATAACTTAAAATCATGTTAATATCCCATTTCGCTATCACATTATTTATATACATATCATACGTTTTTTCAAGGTCATCTTTAATAAATGATATATAATCTGAAGGGTCTAAAAGAATGGGATTAAATTTACCACTCACAGAAACGAGAGTAACATTATAAATTCCGCTAACTGTTAAATTTAATTCACAGTTATTATTCGAAATAATATTGATAATTGACATTTTTATTACGATTAAAAATATGGTAAAGCGTTATTTTCCAGTGATAAATAAAACTAGAATAAGATTACCTCAAGAATTCATAAATTCAACGAATAAGAAATTCATTCATGTTATAAATTTTAGTGTTTTCAGAAAATATGAGTCAATGTCATATTCATCAACAGGTTATATTTCACTTCATTCAAATTTAGTTCAATCAAACCCATATAATGACCATTTCATAAGATTTTCAGATGGTATTAAAAATGTAATTGATAGATTAAAATATGAACAGATTGACAATATCGAATTTTTGGAATTTTGGTTTAAATATCCCGATGGAAAAAAGATTGAAGTTAAAGATAAAGCTGATACTATAACAAAAACAATTACAATGACCGATCCGGATAGTGGGGAACAAAAAGAAATAAAACAAACGATAGAAACTGGTGAAAGGTCAATTATTATTGATTATGATTCAAAGGATTATTATTCGATAATGTTAATGCTTGAATATTAAATAGCCTTAACAAAGAATTTTTCAAGTGATATTTTATATTCATCAACTATTTTATTATAAATATCATTATATGTTAAATGAAGTTCAGTTGTTGTTCCGTTCTTTGATATCTTAATTGTGCTAATATCCTTTATAGGATTTATTTTTGCAACTGTTCCGCAGCATGAAACCTCATCATCTATGAAAAATTGAATCTTAACGTCTGAATCTTGAACATCACAAAGAATGGCGATAATGTGAATTAATGATTCATAAGGTAAAATAATTAAACCGGATTGGTCAATTAAATTTATTATTGAATCATAATTATTAATTATTATATCACGGTAAATTTTCATTAATTCTGAATTAATGTCTATTTTATATGGGTTCTCGATGTTTGATGAAAGAGGTGGGGGTATGTTGGATAAGTGGGAATTTCAACAGGTTCTTTACCGGGTTCAGATAAAATGATTGGGTCTCCATTCTCATGGTTTTCTTCATTCTCCTCATTCTTCGGTAAGTCACGAGTTAATAAATTTGGTTGAGTTGCTGACCTTGTTAATTCAGGGCTAACATTAACTTTAACATTTTGAATAATTCGTGATTTATCATCATTTACGTTATAACCAACCGTAATCTCTGCTTTTGCGTTAGTGTTCTTTTGACTAGTGAAACGTCTTCTCATTTATATTCGAATAAAAAAAATATATTTAAACTTTTATTTTGCTGGAACTTTTGAATCTATTATTCCCTGTATTTGTTCATGAAGTTGATTTTTAGCATTTTCATCGAAATTAATAGACCGAATATATTCATTAATTGCATTCTTATAATCATTTGATTTCTCAAATTTTCTTTTATCTGATTCCTTAACTAAATCATAAGTTAAACCTCGTTGCTGATATAATGGTTTCTTAATTAAATCTTTGAATGCTTGAGATAAAGCACCTGATGCAATTCTTGCTACTATAATTGGTTGGAATTGCTGTTTAAGTTCATCTTTAACATTTGCGAAAACTGGATCGAATAAAGCAACTTTAAAGAATTTCTTAGCTGAAATTTCAGGTCTAATATTTGCATATTGACCATCAAACTGGTTAGAATATCGTGGTAATCCATCCGGTCCCTCTTCAATAGCATTTAATTCTTCATTGAAATAAGAATATGGATTATGACGGTATGAATTAATTGGACCATTTTCACCTTCTCCAATGTATTGTTTAACAGCTTTTCCATTTTCATCAAATTGCATAGGATAACGTTCATTATATGCTTTACGTTTAGGATAATCAGATATAGTTAATTTATAACCATTTATGACTTTAATATTACCTTGACCATCAGTAACGAAAACTTCATTTATACCATCAGGTTTTCCATTTGGACCCGTAATGTCTGCTTCGTGTGCTTCCCAATTTGGACCTTGACGTTTGGCATATGCTTGAGCTTCTGGTAATGTTAAAACGTTTCTCATTTGTTTAACATCTTTTTGAAGACCAGCAACAATATGAACTAATTCTTTCATTCCATCAGGAACTTTCATAGTTCTATTATATGCACCCTTTTTGTTTGTTCCTTGTTTTAATGGAACCTGTAGAAGATTTGCTATTTCTGTCATGTTTAATTATAAATAAAAAATAAAAATTAATTATAAAAAGTTAATCAAATTTAACACTTCCTTTATTTAAATCAACTATTATTTTTCCATGTTCACCTAATTGCTGATATTGTGTGTAAAGTTCATTAATGCTCATTGGTAAATTCACTTGATAAAGCATAACGTTCAACTGTTGACGACTAAACCCACTGAAAATGAAAAGTGTTGATAGATTTGATTTAATGTTTGTGCTTAATGCTTTGAAATATTGAACAGCCATGAAGAATGAACACTGAATGTGTCGACATTGAGTTAATAACTGATTAAAATATGATTTCTCATTTGTTATTAGTTTTGATTTCACTGCATCATCTAGAAAAATGAGTGAATGCAAAAATTCTCTATCAAAATTTGAAATAGAAAGTGTTTCAAATAATTCATCCCGTTGTTTATCAATAATTTTATCCTCTAATCCTTGCTTCTTGATTGTATTATATAATTCTTTATACATTAAAAAGTTTTTTAAATAATCTTCTGCTTCTTCTTGTGATAAATAAATAATTGGAATTTTGATTAAATGCTTTAAAGATTCAAATGTATCATCTGAAGGTGAACCTGAACGGTTGATATAAATTAACACATGTGAATAGGGGGAAGTGTTAGCAATAATGATAATTTGTTTTAATATCGTTAATGTTTTACCTTTATTTTGTTTACCAATTGCTGCAGTGATTGAATTTAAGTAACATTCAGAATATGGAATTTTCATTAATTTTTCCTTAGATAGAGCATTTCTATTATCACTCAATGCTTCATTAATCATATCATCTACGTATGTATTATATACTCCTGCTAATTCTTCATAAGGGGTGGATGAATTTAAATCCATTTAATCAAAAATAAATTTATAATTTTAAACATTTCTATTCATCAATATTTCATCATATGAACTTCTATACTGTGGTGGTGTACCTGTTGGATGATATTTCAAACCTTCGTCCGGTGTCCATGTCCAATATGTAGTCCTAGTAAACCAAACCTGAGGAGGATTTGTCACCTTTGAACAGTAAGTGTCATTTTCACCCTGAATGATTGGATAAGCTTTCACTTGTACTGTAACTTGTGAGTTGAAAGTTTCTAATCCATCAAAGAATATACCCGCTCCATCACGTTGAACTGGAATAGTGCATAAGAATGAAGTTTGGTCTTTCCATGTTCTAGCTAATGGCGTGCCATTATCATCATTCAGTGGTCTAGTTAATGAGTCCTCGTATTCTTCTGTGCATTCATTCACTCCATCTAAATCAGAAGCTTGAAGCATACGTGTAAAGAATATGTCACCCACTGTGGTCATCGCTTGATCGGGGAAGTTTCTGGAATCTATAGTGACCTGAAGACCTCGAAGCATTGGATTTTCTAAAACGTTCTTTGCATTGCATTCTTCGGAAATGTTAACACAACATCTGTAACATTATGAAGAGCGTATGAGAAATCTGAGCTAATACCTTCAGGAGTGATGCAACCTCCATTTAGTGAACGAACGTCAATATGTTGAGCTGGAATCATGAATGGATCTTCCTTACTGAATAAACGTGGTATTGCTTTAACTGATTCTTCAATTAAACCGTATCCTGGTGTAATGCATTTATCCTCTAAAACTTCCATCTTTGTGCATGAAATAATAACGTCATCAACTGTTGCGTCAGCAGATGTAGCGGCTAAGCTTGTAATTAATTTGGCAGGAAGTCCGATTTGTTGGAATTTGCGATCATATTTATAAACATGATTCATAATCTTTTCATAATTTTCATCAGTTATCTTTTCATAAACGTAATTTTGTAAATCAGCAACTCTTAACGGGTCAACCTGACAAAATACTAAAGTATCCCTGAAAACATAATATTTAAGAATGATTTCACCAAATGATTTAGGATAATCATCGAACGCCTGAAATGCTAACAAATCATTTACCGGAATAATCATATCAAAAGTGACATCAACTTCTTCATTTGCTTTCTTGAAAACTTCTGAAGGGTCAATATATTTACCACATACTGAGTTATCATATTTTTGAACATTATTATATAACGAATGAACAAACTTTTTAACTTTCCTTTCTGATTTTGGTTTATATGTTGCAAATGCGAAAGATTCACGGGCGCAATCCATCTGAAGATAACCGGCATCACCTCTTTCGGTTTCTACTTCTAATTGTTTAAAGCTTTGATTTGATGATTTGTAACCAACGAATAAACGCATGCATTTAAAAGCGGCATCACATGTGAAAGCTTTATTTGAAACTAGAGTTGCTTTAACTTTGCGTTTAATATATGTGTCACCTAATTGGTTCACATCATGAGCCGGATTTGTAATTCTTAAATGAGTTTGTTTATCATCAAAATATGGAGCATCAGAGTCATAGCATGAACTTTCAAGTTCTCTATAATATCTTCTACCGTCATTCTTTGCGAATATTTCATTTATCTTTTCGAATGAATGAAACACATTTCCATTAATCGGTTTAGTGTTTGGCACAAATAGTTAGTCGTCATTTATTAATAAATAAAAAATCAAAATTAAAAGATGAAAATGAATTTTTAATTTTAATGAAATAATCAACTATGGCTGCAGGTATATTTAAGAAACTGTGGGATAGAGTAAAAAGAGGAGCGAATAAAGTTTGGGAAACATTGAAGAAGGGGGCAAATTGGATATTTAAGAATAAAGAAGCAATTAGTGACGTTGCTGAATCAATAACACCAAAAGCCGCCCCAATAAGAGAAATATTAAATAAAGGAGAAAAAGTTTATCAAAGACTTCAACCGATACTAAGATAAAAATAATATTTATTTATTTTTCCACTATCTACCTCCTATTTTATTAAGTATTCCTTCAGCAATTCCACCAATTGCGTTACCTGCTTGTGCTCCCATCGCCGGATTACCTGCTTTAGTACCTAATACTCCACCTATGATAGTTCCTGCCGTTTTCGCTACTGGTGCCAAAAAGTTTGCAACGGGTTTAATAATTTTTATGAACCCAACCCGCAGCTTTCTTAATTCCATCCCATAATTTTTTAAAGAATCCTGCCGCCATTTCTGATTTAATATTAATTAAAAAATATATTTCATCACTTATATTCTAATTTTTATTTAATGATAAATGAAACCGATTTTAAAAATAAATGAAACAGAGGAGGAAGAAATAAATGAAAGTGAAAATGTTCAACAAAAAATAAACGTTGTTAAACCAATTACTGAAATAAAAATTTTTTCATCTGTTGAAGAATTTAATGACTATTATGCTAACAATAAAAAATTATTTGAAGAATTGACAACGTGTAAATTGAATAAAATGTTTAAAGTTGATGGATTCAAAATTTCAAAAATAAAAGGGGTGGTTAGTTTGAAATCTATTCCTCAATCAAGAATCACCGCATTAATGAAAATTGATGATTTAACAAAAAGAATAGAAGAGATTGAAGAAAGAATAAATCAGATAATTGATATCATAAATTCAAATAATCATTAATTTTTTAAAGTTCAATGTTGAACTCATCAAATTCTTTTTAAAGTTTATTTTTTTATTTTTTATTTCATTATGGTAGTGAATCTTTTACTCGTTTATGAGGTCTTTGATTATGACTCCATTGATTCCATTCAGGATTTAAACAATGTTTAATTAATCGTGGAATATCTGACATCATCTATATATAGCTTCTTTTATAAAAGATAAAAAATAAATTATTTTAAAATTAATGTTAATTTTTTAATGCGTTTATAAATAAATATATGGGCTGAGTGTAAATGTCTTACAATTTTGAAAATTTTTTAAATCTTGATTTATTCAAAAACGTAAGAATAAAAACCGTCAGAATCATACATTTTTTACTTCATATGTTAAAAAAAATGATACAAAATCGCTCGATATTGCATGAATTCTTACGTTTACAAAAAAAGTCACACAACCCTTCCACATATACTACTACAAATTTATATTTTTTTAATTTTCTATTCTGTTTTATATACTTATAAAAAATTAACTATTTTTAATTCTAGCTTTATTGCTTCCTTCATAAATTATAATTCAGTTTTTTTTTTATGGAATTGTCTGATTTTCGAGATAATTTAACGGGAGTGTTATAATCCCGTTAAATTTTACAGACAAATGTGCCATAGCCATACTATTTCAAACAGTAAATCAGATCATTTTGAACTTACAGGTCTTCATTTCGAAATTTTTCATTTATTTCAAGTCATACTACTCGTTATTATATTATCTATTTCAGAACCCAAGAATCTATGCGCAATTAGTGTCTAAAAAACCACAATTTACTATTAAAAGTCCCAAATTTTCAATTGACCAAAATAAATTCGGATTTTTCATAATATACAAAGTCACAAAGAATCTCTTTGATATGCAGTTAACTTATTTCTTTTTGTATAGCATTAATTCAAGAATTATTTTAAGTGAAATTTCAATTCAATGGTTTTTCAATCGAAATCGAACAAATTTAACATAAAACCATATCATAATAATAATCATAAGAAGAATCTACTCGAAAATAAAATAATTAGATTTAAAGCTGTCTCACTTAAAAAGTACTTTTTTAAATACCCAGCAACTGAACCTTTGAAGCTTTCTTTAACATTTGAGAATAGGCAAAACAGAACAGTAGAGATTATTCCTCGATATTCTCCATCTGATATTCAATTGGAAAACGTATCAGTTTCTACAGACGAAGTTGTAGATCAACTGTTTGATATTTCTCATTTACCTATTGGTGATTACAAATTTTATTTTAGAGTTTACACTAATAACAGTTATTATTTTGAATCATTTAGAAGTTTTTCAATTGGATATTCACCTAAAATCAATGTGTCTGATATAGAATTTAGTCCATTAGAGGTTAGAGAAGACATTGACACAAGATTGAATGTATCCTTTGTTTTGTCAATTCCGGAAAAGTCAGGAACTAACTTACAGGTAAACTTTTACTTCAATGATAATCATGGAATTAATTCTAATGAATTTGCATATTTCCCTCGAATCTACAATTATTCAATAAATTTCAGTAACATTTACTATCTAGACAAGAAATATTTACTAGACGGCATTAATTATGTTTACTTTTATCCAAAACAAGGTGATCGTTGTGGCGAGTTTGTCAATGCTTCATTCAAATACATTATGAAGAAACCAATTCTCAATATAATTACACCTGACAATCAAGTGTTCAAAAAGAATGATGATACAAAATTCAATTTAGAAGAAACAATAAAATGCGATTATGAATGTGATAATGTTAGCCTTTTCTATCAAATTGATGAATATGAAGTTAAAACAATAGTAAAGAATATTCCGATGCAACCAGATATAGCTATTGAAGGTAATCATGGTGTCGAATTCCCTTCAGATTTGACAGAAGGTAACAATCATTCTATTAGAATATGGGTAACAGACGGTTTCAACAGAACGTCAATGGTCACAAAAAACTTCTCTTATTTATTCGATTATCCCACCATTGAAGTTTTACCATTATCTAAAGATTCATACACTGATTTTGCTGATGATATCATCAATGTCACAGGATTTGTTTCACATCCTTACCACACTGGCCAACTTTCTGTTTTTCACAGGATTGATGATAAATCAGAAATTAGCGCGACATCATCACCAATCCAAGTAGAAAGTTCAAATGAAAAACATCAATTCAACTTCACATTTCAAATTCCATCAATTACTGAGGAAGGACTACACATTATCACAATTTGGGCACAAGATGAGAGAGGAGTGAAATCAAATATTCAAAATTTTATTTTCGGATTTGAACATAATTCACCTCCTGAGATAGTTTCATTTGATATTTCTCCTCTAGAATTCTTCAAAAATGGATTAACTCCAATGGAAATCAATGTTCGTATTGGAGATATAAATGGTGCAAAAAATGCCGTAATTATGTACAAATTTGAAGATGGAGAATATAAAAATCTAAAACCAATTAAAATCGAACAATCATCTGCAAAAACAAAAACAATGGAAATCTATGTTCCGAATTATCTTCATGAAGGAAATAATACCATTTATTTAATTGTAAGTGATGGAAACAAAAATAGTACCGAAGTAAATAAGACATTCGAATTTAAATTCAATCCTCCAATTCTTAATATCACAACAGCTGATAATCAAGTACTATGGAAGAACACAAGCAAAGAGTTTCATTTTGTAGGAAATCTCAAAGATGATGATGCAAACGGAAATGTTACAATTTTCTATCAATTCGATGGTGAACAACCAAAACAAGCAAATACTTATAATATTACAGACAATAAAATTCATGATATATCTTATAACGCCACATTTCCATCAAATTTCTCAGAAAATAACCATCACCGTATAACAATATGGGCAATAGACGAAACAAATAAAATCTCAGAAAATTATATATTACACTTTTCATATCTATTTAACGATCCAATTCTTAATCTCATATCACCAGACAAACAAGCGTTTAAAAAGAATATATAGGGTGTCCAAAGGTGCGTTTAGCACAGCGCTCTATATGAGACTATTAAAGGAGATATATGCTGATTATAAATATATAATAAAAAATATGAATATATGTATATGATGAGTATGTTGTATTTTGGCGCCATGCCGGGATATAAAATGAATTTTGAGACAAGAGGCGGTTTCGCTGGAAATTTTGGCGGGATTTTTTTCATTTTTTTAATGAATCATAAAGAAAACATCCTCGCTCTTGCAAAAAAATGCAAAGACTGTAAAAAATCTACGAGACATTGGTAAAATGCTTCGGTATGGATGCTCCTAGCTATTCCACTGTAACGTATCATGTTAGGATGTATCACTTCATGAACAAAAAGGCGCCCATCATAAAAATTGACAAAAATCGCCGGATCAAAGAAAAATCAAAGCAATTCTTCAAGCGCTAGATGAAGACCCAAGAGCATCACTCAGAAGGATAGAGGAGATGACAAAGATACCACGTACAACAGTCAGTTATTATCTGCACAATTATTTGAACTACAAACTAGCGTATACACGTTGGGTTCCGCACAACCTTAATTCAGTTCAAAAAAAATCTAGAGTCCAATCTTCGAAAGAGCTCCTCTCTATATTGAGTGCGTATCAATCCAAGAAGTTTCGCTTTTTAGTAACAGGGGACGAGTCTTGGTTTCAATATGCAACAGAAGCCAAAATCATGTGGATCCCGAAGGATGAAAATCCGCAAACATTCCCGAAGAAAAAAATTGACACACCAATGATGATGTTGTCGGTTTTTTGGGGCGTGAATGGCATCATCGCAATTGATATTCTTCAAAAACCTAATACGATGAATGCTCAGTATCTAATTGACAATGTTCTTACTCAAATTATCAATTCTGATGAGTTTGAGAAATCCAAACAACAAAAACAAAAGTTTGCAATTCATTTTGATAATTCAAGAGTTCACAAAAGTCATAAGGTAATGAATTACTTGGTGGAAAACAATGTCAAAGTTGTTCCAAACCCAATTTATTCACCTGATATTGCACCCTCTGACTTTTATTTATTCGGCACGCTAAAAAAGAGAGCTGAAGGACGCGAATTCGCGAGTCCAGATGATCTTGAAAATTTTGTAAGAGAGCAATTTGAGCAATTTTCTCATGATGATTTAAAGCGTGTCTTTCAAGCCTGGATCGATCGCTGCGAACGCGTGATTGAATCCAATGGTGATTATATTTAAATAAACTTTATATATATGTAACTTGTTTATTTCTATTCGCAGTATTCAGGTTTGTGCTAAACACACCTTTGGACACCCTATAGATAAGTTTTTTATTATAAACGGAACAGTTAAATGGGAATATGATTGTGAAAATATTAAGATTTATTATCAGTTTGATGGATATGAAGATAAAGAAGCAGAGGATGTCCCATTTCAGTCTCAAATTGAATATGAATTTAATTATAAAGCCCAGTTTCCATTAAATATGACAGTAAGAAACAATCATTCTATCAGTATTTGGGCAATAGACAATTTTCACAAAATGTCTTCAATAATATCAAGAAACTTCTCTTATATCAACTACACTCCTAAGTCTAAGGGAAGAAAAAGAATTCAAAGATTGGGAAAATTATGCATGGTTTTAATTCAAATTAAAAAATGATTTTATTATCGTTTTATGATTTTCTTTTTCTTTTTCTCATCTTGAACTCAGCTAAGATTGTGAGTAGTGTTAATTTAAAATAGAATATATGTTTTTGAATCAGAAAATTTCGTGCTCGGCTACAATGTGCTTTAAATTCAAATTTCCGAAATCCTTATACAACAGATTTAAAGTTCTTGTCAAACAGACATCATTATACCATACAGATTGAATATAAAATAATCGTTTTTGAGCATTTTTTGCTCTTATAACACCTCCAATTTTTACAATGATTGAATGATACTATCATTGTTATTTATGCTACTTTTACCAAGGATTAATTTAATGCCTACGGTATGTGCTTAGTATCACTCAATAATATTACCCCGAAATATGCATTCATATATAAACTAACTTGGAAGTAAAATTTATTAATTTTTAATCTTGTAAGATGTATATGGTACTAAATATGATAAAGATACGAATTTTAAAAATTGTACGTTTACTTTTGAAATTTTCAACTTGTAAATTATGTCTGTTGCTTTTGATATTGAATCAGCTTATAAAATAGTTGATGCTCATCATCAACAAGTTGATGATGAACTTATTGCACTATTAACAGCAATACAAAAACGTTTACTTCAAACTCATAAAAATTATTATACCCCAATTATCAATAATTTACAAAGAAAAATCGATGAGCAGAAAATTGCGAATGAAACTATGTCAAAGCGCGCAGAAGGAATAGACCAAGAAGCCGACAAGTTAAGTATAATTTTCGAAAAGATGGTAGATCATATAAGCTTTATGAAAATGAAAGAACAAGTTTCAAATGCAAAGTCTAAATTATTACATGCTTGGAGAGATATTGCTACTTCACGCAGAATTTACGAAGATACAATGTTCAGAATCTATTTACAAGAACCAATGAAAAGAATTTTATTCAAGAGATGGGTTAGAAGGATGAATAAAGTCCGTTTCAATCGCAAGAAGAGAGAGTTACGCAGAGAAAATTCGCGCGAAATGAAAGCACAAGAAACAGAAGCTACACAAAGAATCACTGCCCTACAATCTGAACTCATAGCTGTAAGACAGCTCCTTGCAGAGCATGAAAGACAAAATGGCGAAATGCAACAGAAACTCAGAAGAGCTTTCATGAGAGGTGTTGTCAATCTTAACTTGGAAGCTGTGGATGTATTTGGAGAAGTTCCTGCCACAGATGGTCTTGTTTCTTCAATAGCAGCACAGCCTCTTAAGAAGAAGAAAAAGATGGAACTTCCTAAGGATTCTGATTCCGATTCTGATAACGAAGACTTTGTTGTAGAGCCTGCTCCTCGTATTTCTGTAATTCATCATAACTGAAAAGTTTGAATTTTTTTTTATATGTCAAGTAAAATTTTAATATTTATATTAAATTATGTCTTTTAAAGGTTGAATGAAGAAACAAATGCAAATTAGACATAAAATATTAAGATATCATGCAAGAAAAATATGTATTTTTGCAATGATTTTATTTCAATTTTTAATAATTATGAAAAATACATTTCAAATGTAAAATTTATTAAAACAGAAGTGAAAAATGTCAATAAACAGTATAAATAGAAGTTTACAAAACAGTATGAAAATCCAAAAGTTATTTTGCAGTAACTAAAGGCTGTGCTGATGCTCCAGTCAATATTACTTCTGCAGGCTTAGAGAACATGCAGAATAAAATGATAATTGCTGGAATAGAAAGGCCTAAAATCAAAGTTGTCCAAATTAGCCATGAAACACCCCTGCTTTCAGTCAAATAAAATAGATTCTTAACAGATCCGCAGTGGTCTTGTGGCCAGCAATCAAATGTAGAGCTTTGGTCGGTCCAATCGCCAAATGAACGACTAATTGAGAATGACATCTGAGAAATGTTGTATTTTCCTGCAGGAAGCCTTAAAATGAACATATTTGGTAGGGTGGAAACAGATAATTCGTCATATTTTTCTTGAACAAAATTATCTTGAGAATTCTTATAAAATACCGTAGGGAATGTGGAATTGGAGTGATCGATATCGAATGAGTATGATGAATTTGTAAGAAAATCAAACCAATAGCATAAATTATAATCGACAACGAGATGATCTGCAGATATTGTTGTACTTTTAGCTCCACGAACATGTATCGTTTTCTCGTTGCAAGTTTGTATATTTGTTAAGAAAATATCGACCTTGCAAAGTGCTGGAGAAGAAGAATAAACAATTTCAATAGTAGAATATTTAAATTGGAGTCTTTGACTTGCTTGAGCTTTAATGGTTGTGTTATCTACGTCTGAAGATGCTGTTATAGTTAATTCGCCGAAGAAAAAATGTGGTGAAATATGAAGAAAAGCGTTTTTATCTGTAGCATTTATCAAAATAGTATCACCATTTTTGAGTGTAACAGAAGTAAGAATGTTATCTGAAAATGAATACTGTTGAGACACTGAATTCGAGAATAAAAACCAAAACATTTATTTTGTCACTTTTTATAAATTATATCAGTTCTCGGATAGACTCCGCCTCATTCCTTTTGGATTATCAATCTATGTTTTAGGTCTGAAGGCTTTGTTCTTGCTATTTGTATATACATTTCTATTAAAGAATTTAATTATTTATTGTCATGAATTGACAGGAATTTAACCAAAACAAAAGAAAAGAAGATTTTGTCTCGCATAAATATGATAGTGATAACGCAAGCATAACTGGGCATATGTCGAAGTAGAAATTTGATTTTATTTATAGAATTAAAAGGAAAAATTTATTCATTTAAATTCATAAGATCTCTAGTTCAACAACTTCATCATCATCTTCATTATCTCCGATATCATTATTATCACGTTGCGTAATATTTTCATCATTGACAAATTTGTCTTCACTGTCTTCAAAGTCTGCTTTGAATAAGTCGTCTTCTTCCTTCGTGACAGTGAAGAGAGGATTATCATTTGTGCTCTCACCATTAGTAGTGGTGAAAATTTGAACAGTTTCTGCTTCCATTTCAATGTTTTCTGTTTCGCTCTCTGACTTTTCTTGCTTCTTCTTTAGATGAATTATCAAAATGATAACACCAGCAGTGATTCCTATAGTAACGATTGCAATGATTGGCCATAAAGCATATTTTCCAAATGGTGTCTGCAAGAAACCAATAGCTACACTCTCGTTTGGTGTATCAATTAATGTGATATTGTACTCGGTTGTTGTCATGTAGTAGATAATATATGAGTAGCCATTTTCGTCAAATGTCTCAGTCGGTAAATATGTATTGATATATGTTGTTGTGTATCTTCCTGTATAATCTGATGGTAACATTGTTGGAATAGGATATGGAGGCACAGGTGAACGAATGGGAGATATCCTTGGAATGCTACCACTTCCATTTCCTGATCCACTACCATTTTCATTTTCATTGCCATCATCGCCGCAGTCAATATTATATCGGAATGTAAATTCTCTTGAAGTAGCACCTCGATTATCACGGATTTGAACAATAATGACATTTTCACCACATTTGTCGCCAACTGAGAAATTGAAATCGAATGAGAAACACTCTGGACGCTCACTGACTGGACATTCATGAACATCAACAAATGGATCAGAATTCTTCTTCACAGATACTGTGGTATTTTCATCATAATCTTGATCATTAAAATGACCATTTATTGTGATATTGGAACCCGGTGCAATTGTCGGAATTTCTTGATCATTTGAACCTCCGCTTCCTGATCCAGTTCCTGAACCACTTCCACTTCCTGAGCCAGATCCAGATCCTGAATCCGAACCATTTCCTGAGCCAGATCCTGAATCTGAGCCACTTCCTGAGCCAGATCCAGATCCTGAATCCGAACCATTTCCTGAGCCAGATCCTGAATCTGAGCCACTTCCTGAGCCAGATCCTGAATCTGAGCCACTTTCTGAGCCAGATCCTGAACCACTTCCACTTCCTGATCCGGAACCTGAACCACTTCCACTTCCTGAGCCAGATCCAGATCCTGAATCTGAGCCACTACCTGATCCGGAACTACCTGAACTTCCAGTATCAGATCCTCCATTATTACCGCCACTAATACTACCTGTGCCATTGACAGTTGGAAATGTAATTGTGATCTCTTCAATGGTTGGAGTGTTCATATTGTAGTAGAGGAAACTATATTCACTCACATTCGACATAACGCCGTATTCATCAATAGCTGCTAATATAATATTATGGCCTGTCAGTGAAAGAGTGTTCGGTTTGATCTCAATCTGTGAGTGCATGTACTGCGAATTATTATAAAGTGCGTAATATCTACTCAGATTCATGTATTCACCATCATCGATCTTGAAAATCATCTTAGCTTTAGTGTCATCAAAGATGTTGATATCCAAACTTATGAACGCGTGTCCGTAGACTTTTTTCGGAAATTCATTCAAAAGTTTGAATGTTGGTGCTTGATTGTAGACAATAGGTTGAATGAACTTGGCAACTGTGCTATTGTTATCATCCAAAAGCGTAAAAGTAACATTTCCTCCATTGAAGTCCGGAACCAAATTTCTGATATAGTCAACTAATCCGACGCCAGAAGGAATTGTTGAGATATCAATGTAGAATGTTGTTCCTTCTCTTACCCAGAACACAATATTATACCTTTGATTTGTGTATAAGAACTGTTTTTCAATGAATTTCTCCAATGTGTAGTCAGATGGAACGTATTTAATAGGAGAAATTCCAATTCCAGTACCGGTACGACTGTCTGTGTTGATTGGTTGGAGTGCTGGAAGATATCTAGTTTGAACTTTTGTTGTTGTTTGAAGTTCTTGCTGATATATCGTTGAACCATAAAATTTGTAATTTTCAGCTTGGAATGTAGCTATGTAAAGTCCATCTGATTTAGGTGCCGTGAAGGAATAATTGAAGTATTGCCAGTCACTTGTGGAAATTGTGCTGTAAATTTCCTTGTAGCCTTCGCCATTGAGCTGATACTTAACTACAATCTTCTTTCCAACAGATTCATCTTTGACCCTTCCATGCAGTGTGATGAGGTCATATGATGTATAGTTATCAAGCTTGGTAGTCTCTAGAATCTCCATGATGGGTGCATGATCTTGAGCAATTGAGAAGCTATATTGATTCAATAATGATTCTGACCCAAGTTCATCTTTTGCAAAAAGATATAAAGTATGTTTTCCAACCGATAACTTGCTTGCATTAAGGCTGATCTGTGTAAAATTAACATATTTTCGTGAGTGATTACATTCATAGAAGTCTGTCAAATATTTATCATTTTGATCATCAAATCTATATAAAATTCTTGCTTTAGTGTCATCACTGATCAAAAAATCAATGTCAATGAAACCATCTTCTGGGTATTGATCATTTATAGCGCGAAGAACAATTAATTCAGGACGCATATTCAAGACATTGTATCCATTATCAAATTGGGCAACAATTTCTGAGCCTTGGGTTGCCCAAACATTAAATGTCTGACTTGTAACACGCTCTGGCACTGAAATTGAAAACTCAAATGGAGGTGTAGTCATGTTGTCTGAAACAACAAATTCGCCGATCTCTTGATCTTCATTAAGTTCTCTGGAAAATAAGTTGGCTTGGTATTTATAGTTGATCTTAAGAGTTGTTCCATTATCGAAGTCCACTGCCATACCTTTAATTCGAACAACATCACCAGGCTTGATTCCGCCATTGTAGGTGTTCTCAATGATAATACTCTTGTGACGCTTCATTCTGAATGTGCTCTTTATGAATTGTTATATACGAAAACGATAAAAACGGTTGACAGAAAAGTGACAACTTTACGTGTCAAAAATAGAAAAAGTGACATTTTATTCGTAATATTAAAATGAATCATCATAATCTTCTTCATAAGGGTCTTCATAATCTTCTTGATATTCTTCTTCATAATTTACTTCGTATTCTTCTTCTTCATTACTATCTTCTTCTATTTCAACCGGATTCGCCTTATTTTCTTCTTCTTCAACTTCCTCTCCTTCTTTTTCTCATTCATCTTCTTCGATTCCTTGGAGCTCTGGCATCTCATTGGCCATAAGTGAACCTGGAAGAAAATCTTGAGAGACTCCATCCACAATCCATTTTGCCGGCATTCCCAGTTAGTATACATATCATGGGTACGGAGGCACTGCGCGCCTCCTTACCCATTATATGTGAATTTGACACTTTACGAAACCGTTAACGTATATTTTACAACACAAACGACAACACCAACTTAACCTTAAATATTTACAAAGCCACTAACGACTTCACCTCACTAACGTTTTCACAAACCACTTCACCTCACTAATGTAAAAAAATAAACGTTCTCACTTACAAAAGTATTGCAACTCCTCCCATTGCTGTGCTTCATATAACAGCTCATAATCTTCTGACTCACTTTCTTCTTCATATAGGTCAAAATCACTGTCATAGTTTATACCTGTAAGTTTTGACAAAGCTAATGAAACACGCTTATCGTTTGTATCATATGCTTGTATAAACTTTCCATTATGCTTGTAGTCATAAACGATCAAACTAACTTTACCCTTTCTCCCTCGTATCTGATAGAATGTATTTTCACGAGGAACGAAGAACAAATTCTTGAACTCATGACCGTTGTAGTTTGTTATCTCAATAGTTTTCGTCATTTATATAAAAATAAACTTAAAAATAAACTTAAAAATTAATGATATCACCACCCTCACACGTATGAAAACATAGCACAAAAATAGATTTAGGTGAAGTGGTGAGATCTCACCTGTTTTTTCACCCTGTTGAATTCATTGCTTTATAACTCTCTTCCTTGGTTTCTTTTTAGTTGCTTTCTTCACGTCTGTCTCCAACTTGACTGTCTTTCTTCTTCGGCCGTAATGATACCAGTTACTTCCACCAGTCAATGGGTCAAATGGTCTTTCGTAAGGGTTTCCATACATTCCATAAGGTCCGTATGGATAAACCGCTGGTGGAGAAGAAACATTTTCTTTAGTTCCATCGAATCTATTTAAATGCATTGTTTCACCTTTCATCTGGTCATTAAAGTCTTTTGCATGTTTTGCAAACTCATCATCCTTTCCTAAAGCATTTTCTGACTCAGTCGCAACCAAATTGGATGCTTTATTTATGAGCCCTATTTTATTTAATCTTAACTTCTTTGCAACCCAACCTCCAATCTTTCCTTTATTTGCATCTAATGTCTTCGAAACTCTTCCTCCACTCATTTTATTTACTGCGTCATAAGCTCCAAGTGCTTTTGCTCCAAATGCTAATGCTTTTGTTCCCATTGCGCCTAAAGCTGCCCAAGCTACCATTTACCCCATATTAAAATCATCTCTCTTCAATATTATCTCATAAAAGTTCTCGTTACTGGAGAAAGTCAATGAAACATAAGCGTTCTCACGGGCTTCGCCCTCACCGCTTTGCGGTCTATCTAACTTATTTCTTATATCATCTATACGCTTCAAAATGTCTGAACAATTGCTAACATCTTCTACAACAGTTATTTCATCATGAATGACCTTCAAGAACAAGCTCATTTAATATGCTATTAAAATCATCTCAATAATGAGTCCATCCTTTCTATCTTTAGGTAGCACAACATCTTTCATTGAAGAAGGTTCGACAAGTCTTATGTTAAACTTACTGACAAAGTTTGTTATACTATAATGCTTTGGCGGCGAATACATATAGTTTGAAAGACATAATATAGATTCTTCAGCAAATTCACTTATACTGGATTTTATAACAATGTTCTCACGAGACCAAATACCACCAATTGACAATCTTGTAAGCAATCCTGCTGAACCTTCTACTGTAAACGTCGATGGTAACATTCCACGAAGGTCATCTATTGACATCTTTGAGTCACTGAATTTAAAGATTTTCTTAAAGCAATCGTCATTATCTAACCATGCAATAGCTTTGAAGTTTTCATTCGAATATACATCTGCTTCATTAAATGTAAAACCTGACTTCTTTGCAGAGATGACTTTAAAATCTATTGAGTTTGTTTCAAAATTATATGCTATGGTAACTTCTGAAGGTAATGGATGTCCTTCCGCAGTCAGTTGTTCTCTCACTACCGTTTGAAGCTTTGTGTTAAAAACTTTCATGTCATCTCCTGTGTCTAGGTTCACATACACAGCAACAGGGAAACTATCTTGCTTCTTTGTTTCATCATTATATCTCAAAACATTAAAGTTCTTCAATAATATTGTTCTTCCTGCTGGAATACTTCGAACCTGTCTGATTTCAATAGCTTTCTCACCTCCTACATACTCTACCCAGTGTCTTGGATATTCATAAGTATGCTGACTTTCTTGAATTTTGGTTGGTTTCATCATAACATGTTCATAGTATATCTTTATACTCTTGTCAGTTAGACTCGGTGCTATGTTCTGAATATTTCTGACTTGCATTTTTAATGGAGATAAAATGAAGCATTTAATACATGATGTAGATGAAGACATGAATGAAAGCAGTGAAAAGCTCAACAGTTCTCTCATTCTTCCTTTCAGTAAGGACTATGAATTCTGTTCAAATGGTGTTTATTTCTATTGTGGAAAGATGGGTTCAGGTAAGACATTTAATTTAATTCGTCATATACTCATAACAGAGCGTTTAGGAAACGACTCTTACTATGACCAAATCATTATATCAGCAACTTCAGATTCAATGGATTCAACAGCGAAGACATTTATGTCAAAAGTTCAAGCCTCTGTCATTAAAGTTCCAGACAGTGAACTCATTGAATTTCTTCAACGTTACATTCGACGTAAGAGAAAATATTATGCCATCGTAGAGTTCATACAGTCAGGAATGCAAAAGACTTCTGAGGAGATGGAAAGAATTATTGACAAACACCACTTACGTCAATACTCAGGAGTTTACGATATGAAACGACTTACAAACTACATTCTGTCAAAACTTTCAAAATACCCCTTCAAAAAGTATCCTTCAAACACTCTGCTCGTTTGTGACGACTTCGCCGGAAAAGGTTTAGTGTCAAAACCAGACTCACCATTAGCTAACATCATTACTAAAGTCAGACATTACCATTTAACTGTAGCAATACTTATGCAAACATGGCGTTTTCTTGCTTTAAACATAAAACGTCTCATAACTGACTTCGTTATCTTTCAAGGTTTCTCACGTTATGATATTGAACTCATTTGGAAACAGTCAGGTATAACATTACCTTTTGAAGAAATTTGGGAAGCATATAAGTCTCTCATCTCTCCTCGTTCATACCTTGAGATTCATATCATGACTAATACCATTAAAGTCAAAAATATTCCATGGGAACGACCAACATTGTTTTAAAGTTTAACCTTCAATTGACTGATGGTAAACAAATTCCATGCATCTCTGTCGCCATTTCTGTTAATATTTTTGCTGTCATTCATATCATCCACTTCTCCATCCGTTAGCTTTTGAGGATATGCGTTAGAATAGCTGTTCTTAAATGAAGGCTTTTCACCTTTGAGAGCATAAACTCTATAACTTTCTGCATACTTTATGTTTGAACCTCCTGAGCCATCATTGACATAAATTTTTATAGGCTTCCACCCTTTGTTCATGTTCCTGCTTCTTCCCTTAGCTCTTTTGTTCAGTAGTTCTACATCTTTATACACAGCACCTGTCTCAGTGAATTCAACAATATTTTCATTCGTTAGCTTTACATTCAAACCCTTGTCGAGTATATTGTTCATTTCATACATATAAAAGGTTTTTATTCTATATGAAATGAGAAGCAAATCCATCTTAGCTGGTGCCGTTAATGTTCCAATTGAACCAACATCAAATGTTGACTCACGAACGACAAACAATATTGTCATAAAGAACTATAGTTCGGAGTGTTTGAAAGAAAAAGAACCAGAACTTAAGTCGGTGAATTTAAACTCAGCTTCAAACGCTAACGCTACATCAGATGTTAAGTTAGAGTATCCACCACTGGACCAAGTTCTTTCAAGAGAAGCCAACGACAACCCTTACACAAATGTTCAAACAAATCCTTCAGATAACGTAGACCATTACCTTCTTCAGTTATACCAAACAATTTTACTCAAAGACGATAAGAAGCTTTTGACAAATCTTATAAGTAAGAACCAAATAATTCTAACAAAGGAGGACCTTGAAAATGTTATCTCACGAATAACAGGGAAACAATGTGTCATTGACTATCTCGACCCTGAAATCGAATGCTGTGGTCAAACTCCACTATTCATGAAAATAGGTAACATCCGCATCATTGAAACACCAGGAACTACAGGAGTTGAGTTTAAGTATAAATATTCGAACGAGTATACAAAACTTTCAACAGAATATAAGCTTTGTTTGAAATATGTTTTAGTAAATTAAAGCAGTCAGGAGGGCTCTTTGAGCCCATCTTGGCGCTTTGCGCCGTCAGTCAAAAAATTTCAAGTTAGCAATTTGTAATATCTATCCAAAACTTCTTCAATAGTATCGAACTCATCTTCATAATGCAAACCTAATCTTATTGACTTGGTGCAGTTTTCACTAACACAATATTTTTCTGTTCTCTTGACTGACATAACTAACTCATTTGTTTCATCAAACAGCAACAACCAAAATTCATGACCTAATACATAACATTCATACTTTATATTTTTAGCTCTGAGTTCTCTTGTAAGCTGTTGCATTTAATATTTTCTAAAAAGTCAACTTCAACAGTCATTCGCACTGGTGCCTTCAGTTCTACAGGCTCTCCTTGAAAGTCAACAAGTCTGAATTGCATGTCTTTCAAATTATGAGGACTAATGCGAACCCATTTACCTAAATGAGTTGCTATGACAGGAACGTTTGGAATGAACATTGAATTTACTTCATAACAGAAGGATTTATATTCTACTGAACCTTTACTATTAACTCCTGAAATACCTGTGACATTAGCTATTTTTGACTCAATGTACAAACAATTGCCATAACATACGTATGGAACAGATTTCATCTCAATCGTTTTGTCAACACTTTTCAAAGGAAATGTCATATGGTATGCTCCCAGAAGCAATTGAACTCTATGACTCATTCGTGTTATCTTAAACTCCTTCACATAACTGAACTTCAAAACTCCTGCAATAAGTTTAACATTCATTAAGTTTTCTCCGTTATCCTTGTTTATTGTAGTATTTATGAGAGCATTTAACACTCCAGCTAATGTTTCCATCTTATATTCTACATTATTGTGAAATCTTATTTCGTGCTTCTTTCCATCTATTTCAAGCTCCATGAAATCTGTTTCGTCAGTTATAACGAATGAAGCAATAGTATTAAAGTCAACCATTCTGAATGCAAGTGGCTCATTCTGTAGACCTAAGTTTGTTTGTAGCTTTACTGTCCCGTATTCGTTTGGATCTGTACTTTGCAAATAGAACAACATTTTATTCTTATTAAAATATGACTATTGCTGCATATGCGTATGAAGCTGACAGAGCTAAACGTTTATATTTTGGTCAATACTCTCTCACACTTACTGACAAATATATTGTTATTTCTGATGGAAATACTGAGAAATATATAACATGGAAGGACTATGAAAAGTTTGACCCTATTTTAACTCCATGTACTATGCCATTCATTGTAAATGGTGAAGTTGTCATGAAGAACGACACAACAGTATATAGGTCTGTTTATGAAGCATTAGAATATATGTTGAATTATAATCCCGAAAGATTTGACCCAAGCACTACGCCATGTGCAATGCCCTTTATTAAGGATGGTGAAATCGTAAGGGTTCCGAATTCAACGGTTTATACTGCTGTTCAAAACAGTTTACAAAACATTTTAGCGAATATCTTTAATTCAGAAACTACAGAAATAAAATTACCGTATATAACAGATGCTAAAGAAATTAAATCAAAAACAACAACATTATTTACGTCACTTAATGATTTAATGACTTATATCATTAATATTCCTGCACCAACTACAGCATTTGATCCAAACTCGACGGGTTGCAGTGTACCTTTCATAAATGACAGTTCATTAATTACTTTAAGGGATTCGACAGTAAATGAATCATTAAAGGCGTCATTAATGAAAATCATTGATTTTAATTCATTCATGAATACATATAATTCATTCATTAATGTTTCATATGCTTCTAAAGAAGGTGAGCCAAAAACTATCGATAAAGCGGTGTATGAAATAAAAGCATCAACGACGAAATTGAATTCGTTAACTTTTGACGGTGATAGTTTCGTTAATGACATAACATCGGGGAAAACAATTTTAACGAAAGAATACTTAAAATCTCATGTTAGTGAGTTCGTTGAAATTGAAAAAAAGATGGAATTAAGTTCGATCCACTGAATTTCATTTTCAGCTTAGCGAATGCGGGTATTAATTTTGCTGAATGGACAACTATACAGAGTGAAATAAATGCAATATGGACGTTTTTGGGGTCAAAAGCGGGAATGGGTGAGCTTGTAAATGCTGCAAGAACATTAGGTGAAACAGGAAATTTTGTAGATGGTTTTAAAAGACTTGTTTCAAATGTTTTAACAAACACAAAGAAATTATTTAGATGTACCATACATAACGGTCAGATTTTCGAACAGATAGCAACAAACCCTCCGGTTATGGCTGCGTTGATGATGGTTAGAGATATAAAACCACGTAGCGGTGAGGGCGAAGAACATGAACAACAGGATACTGGTCGGGTTATTCGAGACATTAAAAACGTGTATCCTGAAGTTATTGATTTATTTAGAGGAGTTAATGATTCAATTTCAAAACATTCTATAACCCTCGATGAAGAGAATAAATTAACAGATTATATATTCGTCATTATTGCAGAATTAATGAAGAGAATAAATGAAAAAGGAATTAGTGATATCATTAATGTCAGCGATGTAATGATGAAAAGAAATTTTGACTCATTATTTACAAAACCGAAAACAGAATATAGTCTTTATGACGTAATTACCGAATTAATGAAAAAGATTAATGATAATAAGAGTTCTGGCGGGAGAGTTGAATTAGAAGTGAATGATGTTAATGAGAAATTAGCCGAAAAAGCAGACAAAAATGAGCTTTTAGCTCTGAGTGATAAAGTCAAGAACCACGTTCATTATATAACTTCAGACGAACAGATTATAACGGACTACCATGGATATTTAACACGAAGTGAAGAAGTGAAGACGGAAGATGTTAATGAAAGAAGATATAAATACATTCGTGCTAAAGGTTATGACATAAGCTGTACTGTACAGTATGACACGGGTAAAACACCAGAAGCATTTAGTTATAACGATGAAATTTATGCCTCTACTTTCTCTGTTAAAGATGTATTAGTTGAACCAAGATTTACTTTGAGAGTTAAGTCAAAAATAACGTTTGAAGATGCTATTAAAAATAAAGCTGACAAAGTTGAACTCGAAGCAACGAACAAAGTTTTGAAATCTCATAAACACAACATCTCCGATATAAATGAACTTCAAGCTACATTAAATAGTAAAGCGGACAAAAATGAACTTGACGCAATGAACAAAGTTTTGAAATCTCATAAACACAATATCTCCGATATAAATGAACTTCAAGCTACATTAAATAGTAAAGCGGACAAGAACCATGTTCATTATATAAGTTCAGACGAACAGATTATAACGGACTACCATGGATATTTAACACGAAGTGAAGAAGTGAAGACGAAAAATGTTAATGAAAGAAGATATAAATTCATTTGTGCTAAAGGTTATGACATACACTGTACTGTACAGTATGACACAGGTATAGCACCACAAACATTTGGTTATAACGCTGAAATTTATGCTTCATACTTCTTTGTTAACGGTGTATTAGTTGAACCAAGATTTATGTTAAGAGTTAAGGCAAAAATAACTTTTGAAGATGCTATTAAAAGTAAAGCGGACAAAAATGAACTTGACGCAATGAACAAAGTTTTGAAATCTCATAAACACAATATCTCCGATATAAATGAACTTCAAACTTCTTTAGACAACAAAGCAGACAAAAACCATACACATGAATCCTTCACTACTGTTAGAGCTGATGACATAATACTGAACTTTGACCTTGGTTCAAGTGCACCTTTAGAGAATCCAAGTACAAGCGTAAAAGATACTCTTAACAATTTAGATAACAGTTGCAGGAACATTGAAGGTCATGCCAGAAACTTTGAAGCACATGAACTACCAGCAATGTTAGATAAGAAAGCAGACAAAACTTATGTGGATGCAGAACTAACAAAGAAATTTTCGAAACCAGATACAATGACATTTACAACAGAAATTATAAATGGTGAACCAGCAACTCCATTTGAATTTGTTAGAGGTCTTCAACCAGATACTTTTGAATTTTTCTTGGATAATTCTATTGAACTAACATTACATTATAAAAGTGGAACAAATGCAACATTTCATCCGGGAGATACATTCCAAATGGTATTTAATGACATAAGTTCTTTAGAATATGTTTATAGAGTTATGAGCATATATGATTTAATATATCCTATAGGAGCTGTTTATACGTCTATGAATCCAATAAATCCAAACACTTTATTTGGTGGTAGATGGTATGAAATAGTTGACAGTTTTCCATTCTACACTAATACGCAGTCAATGAAGATGGGAGGTTCAAAGAAAATAGGTATTGAAAACCTTCCTTCACATATGCATAGGTTCAGTGGAAGAACATCTGTGGAAGGAAACCATTCACATTCAATAACAAAAAGAGGTTATATAAATCTTGCAGCGGGTTCGAATAGACAGGGAATGAACAGATATAATATCTCAGATGACCCCAAAGATGTTAGCACAGGTATTTTCTGTGGAACTGCAGGAAATCATACACATGTTGTAGCTGGTATTACAGACCCAGCAGGTAATGGAAAAGATTATATGCCTCCTTATATAACAATGCACGCTTGGATACGAGTTGGTTAAACTCTTTAACTGTACATAAATGAGCTTGAAAGAAGTATTCGAACAACATCCATGGAGGTCATTTAAGAAGTTCAATGAAGCTGCAAAAAGTTGGGGATTTACTAACAGAGCTGAAGTGAAAAAGTTCTTTGACAAAAATGTTGTACATCAAACAAAAATAAACCCTTACGACTACTTTTTACCAATTTACTCCAACACTCCTGACGCATACCAATTTGACACTCTCATTCAAAGCAGAAAAGGAGGACATAAACCATTCCTCATCTTCATTAATGTTAACACTCGCAAAGCATATGCATATCCAATGAGGAATAAAGGAACTCGTGAAGTGTTAAGAGTTTTACAAAAGTTTGTAGCAGAACATAACCCAAGTACTTTAACATCAGACCAGGATTCAGCATACCTCAGCAATGAAATCAAAGAATTTCTCATTAAGCATAACATAACTCACTACACTACCGAAGACCATAACCATAACATACTCGGCATCATAAACCGCTTCATAAGGACTCTCAGAGATTTAAATCAAGAGCGAGACTTTACCGAAGAAACAATGAAATATTTTCTCGAAGTATATAATTCCTCAACACATTCTACAACAGGACATACACCAAATTCAATGACACAACAACAAGAAGAAAAGTATATACAAAAGAAACGAAGTCAAACACAAAATATCAGAAATTCAACACAATTTACCCTCATTCCTGGTACAAAAGTTCGTGTAGTTCTTGACGACAAACCGTTGACAAAGAAACGTTTAAGGTTAAGTCGAAATTATTATATCGTAGACTCTACGCAAGGTAATGGATATCTTATAAAAGCTGCTGACGACTCCATTGCATTTTACCCTCGTCATAAATTAGTCGAAAGTAGTAATGGCAAACTTGCTGAAACCATTGACGAAGCAAAGCGAGGAGTGGTTATTGAAATACTTGGCTATAACATAAACGATGACACTTATAAAGTAAGATATGAAGGAGGCGTTGAAGATGTTATACCATCTAAGAACTTGAGAGAATCTAAACCAACTCATCTGGGTCCATTAGAGCGGGAGTACTGGAAAGATAAAAACATGCCAGAAAGAATAAGAAAATTCTTCTAAACTTTTTCGTTGGATGTAAACCAGACAAAAATATATTTTAGGTGAAGAGGTGAGATTTCACCTGTTTTCTCACCTGTTTTTTCACCCTCACCGCTTAGCGGCTCAGACCCTTTGGGTCTCGTGAATTTTCATGAATTTCCTTAAGATAGAAAAAATAAAGTTAGTTTTATTTTTATTTATTTTTTTATTTTGTATAAAAGATATGATTTCAACAATCGGCACAACAACAATTCAAACAACTACAGCACCAAACTCACTAGTCATGAATCCTACGTCAATGTTGGTAGAGATGAAAAGCTTTATTCCTTCTTCATATACTTTTGAGACAGAAATACAAAGAATTAAGCAAGAACTTTTAACAAGTAATTTAGACTGTAGTGCGAAAGATGAAACAAATGAACAGTATCTTTATGACATGCAGGACATTATTGACCATTTACCCAAATTGCCTGAAATTCAGCAGCAAAAACTAACTATTCATGAATTCGATGAAATAGAATTTAAAGTTAGTGATTCTGCAGAAATAAAGAAGTTCATACGTAAAGTAAACTATGAGTTTCTAGGATATCATTGCAACCATAAAGTTATGGACAAAGATTGCGACATGGTATATAAGAACATCTCTGACATATATAAATCTGGGGAGTTTAAGACATACGACAACTTTGTTTCATTAGTTGCTGAATGTGTATGGCAGATAAGAGATAAAGATAAAAGATGTAAAATATGGAATGGACAAATAAAACCAACAACTTTTGAGTTAAAGAAAACCATTGACGCCTTAGTTGTTCTAGCAGGTCAAATTTCAATGTATAACGCAAAAATGAATCCGCAATGTTCAAAATGTAAAGCAGCAATGAGGAAATATAACTACTCCGTCAAAGAGATAGAACGTATGAGAAACGACTATGCTGACTTAAAGAAAGAAGTAGAGAAACCAGCAGAAGATAAAATGGACATGTTAGCATTTCTGAACAAAAACTATCCAACAGCTGACGATTTCCTTCTATCTGACGTCAAGAAGAAGTATAAAGAAACTTTCGGCATTGTTAAAACTTTTGACATACTGACAGAAGAAATAGAAGCTACGAAATTGTTTAGAATTTCAAATATACATCGTACAATTCATGTAAAACGCTTATAAAATAACTGGGGTGAAAAATTAGGTGAGAAAACTGGTGAAATCTCACCTCTTCACCTAAAATATATTTTTATTGAATTCAGCAACAAAATTCTGAGTAAAATAATTTTTAGGGCATGTGTCAAACCGTTGAGTTTTCACAAAATTTAAAAAATAACGTTTACCATGTAAAACACTTATAAAATAACTGGGGTGAAAAATTAGGTGAGAAAACAGGTGAAATCTCACCTCTTCACCTAAAAAATATTTTTATTGAATTCAGCAACAAAAATAATGAATTTCATTAGTTAGAAAAATAAAGTTAGTTTTATTTTTATTTATTTTTTTATTTTGTATGTAAGAACAGAAATGACAAACATTGAGTTTGAAACAGTTAGAAAGATAGACAATGACACCAAAGTGGTTAGAATAGGTGATTTAAACGTAAGATACTCAAAGAAATACAACAAATATTCTTTGTCAGACATTATATCTCCATCTGGAAAGAAAACAAACGACTGGGTTAGAAATGCTTCTACTCAGAAAATTTTGACAAGAAATCCTGAGCTTATGATATCGGTAAGATTCTATGGAACTACAGCATATCTCATTGACAAAAGTCTTATACCGATAGTTTTGTTATGGTTAGGCCCAGTTGTTGGATATAACTTCATAACTTATGGTTCATTCGATACGGAACGTTGCAGTGAAGGCTTACTTTATATCGTTCAGAAACCGAAGGACTTCAACACAAAAAGATATAAGATAGGAAGAACATATAATATAACTCAAAGATATGACAGTACAGTCAATAGAATCAAGGTTGTGTTCGTTAATGATATGAGAGCTGCAGAAACAGAACTACTTGAAAAGTTTGAGAAAATGTATGGTGCTCCCATGAAAGGTAAAGAAACTTTCGAAGTAGATGAGATAGATAAAGCTATAAAATTATTTGACGAAGTTGCTGAAAAATACATGTAAAGCGTTTATTTTTGGTCTTTTGTGAAAGTCAGAAAATAAAGTTAGAATTTTTTTTATTTATTTTTTTATCCTGTATGTAAGAACAGTAATGTCAACATCAGAGAACACAACAACAGTTATAGTCCATGAAGCCATAAATGAAGAATACGAATACATACAATATAACAAACAACTTCGCCTCATTCGTTCGGTCAAAGATGACATGTACCAAATGCAAAGTATAATGAATGCTCTTCGTTCTACAAAGCAAGCATATCATTGGTTTGAAAACCAACAGACAAAAGAACTTTTAGAAGAATTTCCTCATATGATTGCTTCCCTCGGAAAACCGAGGGAAGAGATTCCATTCGAAAATCGCAAGAATTTGGCTCCTGGTTTGAAAGGTTATTATGTTCATAGACTTTTAGTAAATGCTGTAGCAATGTGGGCTTCACCTCGTTATGCTTGTTATATTTTCATGATGTTAGATGAACTATATAAAGCAGAACGTGAAGATATGGAAATGAAACTTCAAGCAAAAGATGAAGTCATTGAATCCAAAGACAAAAGCATACAGAAAAGAATACCACGTTCAGTACCAAAAGGAAAGGAAAAGAGTTATAAGTATATGATATATACTGAAGAGTTGGAGAAAGAAGAAGATAAAGATATGGTTATGTTGCATTTAGTCAGAAGAAACAACAAAAGCTTTTACGACTTAGCTAAAATATATAAATCTGACAGAAATTGGTTCTATCGCGAAAACTTACCGATTTCAATGACTCCAAATGAAGATGTGAAACAAATAGTTCAAGATACTTTACCTCAAACACACTATGATATTAAAGGTTGTACAATTCTTACCTTCAAAGAAGACTTAACATTACTGAAGGAAAAAATAACAGAATATTTCGATAACTTCAAAGAGGAAGAATGAAAAAAATCTCGTCGGGTGCCACGTTAGAACCATAGTGGAGAAAACCATGATAAAACAAAACGCTCCATGTCGATCATAATCGACGAAGTGCAAATCTTCACTTCGTCAAGTTTATTTTGTTTTTACCATTTAATTGTTGTAAAATGTCGATATGAAGAATGAAAAAAAAATATTTTTGCTTAAATGACGTCAGGGTCAATTTCTTCAACCATTTCACTTCCTTCGTCAATGTCAATAGAAGCTTCTTCAACCTTTGGTAAGAATTTCTGTATAACATCTTTGTTCGTTATTGTCTTCAGAGATGAAGGATAATATTTCACATTTGTTTCACCCTTCTTATATTCTTTCTGTTCGGAAAGATTCATAGCAATACTGAAGAAGTCAATGTTAGAGTTCTTTATAACAGTATAATGAGTATCTTTGACATTCACGAAGAAACCCTTTTGTTTCAAAACTACTGCTAACTCTTGTGAAGTATAACGTTTGCGGTCAATGACAATAGCTAATGGTCTGACATACTGACCGAACTTAGATTCTTTCACAAACTTCTTGTTAAAGATAACATTAACATTTGAAGCACCATTGAACTCATTCTTGATGGCATTAGCGAGAGCATTGTATGAAAAGAACTTGCAATCTTGCATGTGTTTCATTATAATAAAAAGTTCGAAATATTTTAAAACTAGCCTTAAAAAATCTAAGCTAATTTTTTTCTAAGAAATTTTTTTATTTCCTACTAAAGATGTATCGGAAGTTGTCTAAGTTAGAACACTCGGAAATAAAACAACTTCTTACAGAAGCTAACATAGATGTTGCAAAACATTACGCGACAAACAAAAAAGCACTCGCTGACATCCTCAATGACTACAATGGTGAAATAACTTATGATAGAATTCATGAGTTCATAAATGCAAGAGCATTTCCTTTAAATGACGTTGCTATTGACTTATATCATAGACGTTCAGTACCTCATGAAGTAAGAAGAGAAATGTTTGACATAACAAATGCGAACGTTGGTCATACTCGTAAAGCTCTTTCGCATGATGTTCGTCAAGAGATGTTTGACATAACAAATGCAAACGTTGGTGAAACACGAAAGAGAGACGACACACTGAAACAACAGAGAAGAGAGATGTTTAAAAGTGCTATAGAACAAGTTCGCAAAGCTAATAATGTCATTCGTTCCATTGACGACAAACCAAAAGAAGGTGAGAGATGGTTAAAGAAAGATGAAGAGAATAGGAAGAGAAATGTGAAGTCAGGCAATAGACTCATTGACTTTAACATCGAAGCTTTAGATGAACCAAACAGAGACTACTTACACAAACATTTCGGTAAGGTTTTCATGAGACTCTTAGAGAAGATTAAAATAAACTCCCAACAAAGATGGATGGTATGTTATAAACTTGGTGGAAAGTATGAATGTTCTACGTTAAACCTCAATAATATTGGAACATTACTACATCAGCTCTTGAAGGAGAACTTTATATCAGAGATAGAAGCAAATGCTGCAGGTATTGTTGAAATGCACTATGACTTCTTCTTGACAAACATAAAGAATCTTACTGAAATAAAGATGTATGATTTAACAGAATATGAAGGCTTAACGATGTCAGATGTTAAGAAAGGAAAGCCACAGAAGCGACCATATAGAGATGAAAGCACACTGACAGAAAGACAGAAAAGATTATTGAACAGACTTAAACAAACAGGAGATAAACAAGATATAGATGACTTCTGGAATGAAATCCTTGGTGAAAAGAAGTTTTATAAGAAGAGAAGCGGTCAGTTCTGGAAGTATCTTTGCACATTACCTATAAATCTTGAACGCTACCAAATCTTCAATGAACTGAACAAAAGAACTGCAACACTTATGACAGAGGACAATTGTTTCGTTTATGCTTGCATTCAGGCTGGAGTAAATGAAGAAACTATTGACCACATGAGAGAAGTCATTCGTGTTAGAGACTTTCCTCAAAGTAAAGTACAAGAAATTTCTGACGCAACAGGTATAGCATTTAATGTTACCATTGGTTACTTCAATGACTCAAGACATAATGAAATAAAGAGATACATACCAAAAGAATGTAAAACTGTTCGAACTATTGACTTACTTCTTGTTGAAGACCACTACATGCTAAATGAAAGACTTCCAATGACAACATATTTCATTCGCAACTATATAGAAATCTTGAAGGAGTGTGGTGGAATGAACATTGAGAAACAGATGAAGATTTATACAAAGAGAGAAGATAAATATGTAGTTCGCATGGATAGAACTACACCGCTATGGGATGTTATGAAAACATTGTGGGAGTGCAAATATTTCGAACCTATTTCTTATGGAGAACTTTTCACATATACGACTGACTTATATAAACAGAACCTTGCACCATTTAAAGATTTGACATATGCTCCAAAGTATTGTGTACAACTGAAGAAGAAAGCCGAGTCAAAAGAAGTAAATAAAAATAAGTGCAAGTTCATTCCTGAGCACGTTTTCTTTGCTGACTTTGAGTGTAGTACGGATGGCTTTCATAAAGCTTTTAACATCTGTTATGACAGTGAAGATGGTTCAGTGAGTGAAAGCATTTGGGGTCAGAACTGTGCAACAGAATTTTTGGAACGACTTCCTGACAAGAGTTTAATATATTTCCATAACCTCAGCTATGATATAAACTTCATCTTAAGACACATGACAGAAGTGAAAGGAACTCCCATCATTAAAGGTTCACGAACAATGCAAATAACTGGCTTATATAAAGGAAGGGCAATTATTATAAAAGACTCTTACAGTGTTATAAATAAGAAGCTTAAACTATTTCCTGCTATGTTTAACTTACAAACAGGACCGAAAGAAGTATTTCCATACAACTACTACAGCAGTACTTTGTTAGCAAATGACAACAGAACTGGTGTCATTTCTGAAGCATGTAAGTTTATCCAGGATGCAGATACATTTATGAAAAACATAGATTCCATCAAAGGTTGCAGAATAGATGAAAACCACTTCGACTTAGAAAAATATAGCACATTTTATTGCAAACAAGATGTAAGAATTTTAAGAGAAGGTTTTGTTAAGTTCCGCAATGACATATTGAAAGAATTTGATTTAAACGTTTATGACTACGTTAGTATTTGTTCAATTGCTAACAAATTATTTGAGAACAGAGTATACTTCCCGAATGGAAATCTTTATGACCTCTCAAATAAACCAAGAGAATTTATTTCGAGATGCATTCAAGGTGGAAGATGTATGCTGTCAGATAACATGAAACAAAAGAGCGAAAAGAAACTCATTGCTGACTTCGACGCTGTTTCATTATATCCATCCGCTATAGCAAGACTTTATACTTTAGAAGGAATTCCAAAAGTATTGAAGGATGAGATGTTAAGCACAGAGTATCTCATGAGACATTTATTCGATGACGACCAAAAGGAACCCATTGGTGAAAAGTTTATGTCTGGCTTCTTTGTTCTCATTAAGATAACAGAGATTGGAATACATAGACACTTTCCTTTAATAGTTTGTGACCCTGAACTAAATCCAGAACTTAACGTTCCCAGAAGTTCAAACACTTGCTGTTTAATGTATGTTGACCATATAACATTACAAGACCTCATAAAATATCAAGGTGTCAAATGTGAAGTGTTGCAAGGATACTATTACGATGGAAACAGAGATATTAGAATAAGAGATGAAGTAAAGAAGTTGTTTGAGTTAAGGTTAAAGTATAAGAAAGAAGGAAATCCTTTGCAAGAAAATATAAAGCTCATTCTGAACAGTATTTATGGCAAAACTATTCTATCTCCTATTGAGTCAAAAATAACCATAGTAAATGACAAAGATGCTATAAGATATGCCATCAGAAACTACAACCATATAGTGAAGTTCGAAGGTTTGGATGGTTCAGATAAAACTATTTTCAAGCTAACGAAAAGCATTTGCAGACACTTTAACTTCTGTCCACTTGGCGTTAACATTCTGTCTATGTCGAAGAGAATAATGTGTGAAGTATTCTGTACTGCTGAAGACTTAGGAATGGACATCTTTTATAGCGATACCGACAGTATGCATCTCTACAATGAAGATATCCCTCGTTTAGCTGAAGAGTTTGAGAAACGTTATGGAAGAGTTCTCATTGGTAAAAACCTTGGTCAGTTTCATAGCGACTTTGCAGAAATAACAGAAAACAAAGTTTAGCATACAAGTCAATATTTTGTGGAAAGAAGACTTACATAGACTTACTCACGAATGATTTAAATGAAGTTGCATTTCACTGCAGAATGAAAGGCGTGAAGCAAGATGTTATTGCTTTAACCGCTAATGAAATGTTTCCTGACTCTGTTCAGTGTTTCTATGATGAAGATAAAGGTTTAATGGTTCCGCAAGGAAAATTTGACAAAGACTCTGAGTTCAGTGTTATGAAACTTTACAAAGCACTTTATGACGGTCAAGAGATTGGATTTGACTTATGTAAGTCTTCTAGTCCTTGCTTTGCTGAAAAGTTTAACTTCTCAATAACGACTAAAACAAGCTTTATTCGTAAGTTGAAGTTCTGAGGTCATTTATTTTTGTCAGCAATGAGGTCATGAATGAGGTCATGAATGAGGTCATTTATTTTTGTCAGAAATGAGGTCATTCATGATAAAAATAAGCCGCTAGCGTAGATTTACAATACTGCGATGGTAGAGTTTAAGAGTTGTGCTTCAATGTAGAGACAGTCCTTATGGTCTGGAGGTAAGAACACTGGGCAGTTATGGTCATGAGTGGAGAACATGTCTATCCAAAACTCACGATTGAAGCCAGTTAATTTATAGTATTTAGGGTTAGGAAGTGGTGAAGTTCTTGTATGACCAATAAACTCATTTTCAACTCCCTTACTTAAGTTTGAATATAATATAGCTTGCTTTCTATCCCAAATGCCAGGTGTTACAATCTTTGAAAATTCATTTTTCCTCGGAAGCATTGCATCATAATTGAAAACATTTTTGAAATCATCACTTGGTTCAGAGATTTGAAATTTATACGTAATGGATTTTTTTTCTCTTTAGCGACTTCATTGAGTGGTGAATATATAACAAACTGACAGTCATGAGTTCCATCTTCATTTTCATTAAATTCATAATGAAAGTCTATAAGTTGTGGCTGACTACCTTTTTCTTTCAGTTGTGCAAGAAACTCACGTAAAGGCTGTAAAGTTTGTACTTCAATGCTGAACTTTTTCTCGAACATCTCATTAAATGAAATCATACATTGTTGCAATGTTGTACCGTCTTTAAAGTATTTGTATATGTGAATGTTTTGGGCGCTTAAAGACTGTTCGTCATTTTCTATCTCGACTTGAAGTATAAAGTCAACCTTTCTGAAAGCACGTGTTATATACATAGATGTTATGCCAATGTACTTCTCTTCATTTATGTTCACAATCCAGTCTGTTGGAAACTTAAACGTTACTCTGTTCCCCTTTATTTTGACGTCAGGGTTTTCACTACTGAACGCAACAGATAAAGGTATTTGTCTATACATTTAATTCGGATAAAAATAAACCATTTACTCTTTCTTTGCTTCAGCTTCTTCTCTAGCTTTTGCTTCAGCTTCTTCTCTAGCTTTCTTCGCCAGTAGTCTTGGGTTCTTTTGTCTTCCAGCAGCTAATGCAGCAAGTTGTTTTTCACTAAGTTTTCTCTTTGGTCTCTCTGGCTTTTGTTCTTGTTTTTGTTCCTTCAGTTCGGATAAAATTTGCTCGCGAATTTCTTTCTTCAATGCTTCAACATCTATGACCCCTTGGGTCTTGTCCGTAGGGCTTGTCTGAGTCATTTGACTGCAGATAAAAAACAAAATTAAAACTTTAACCGATGTAAAATGAGCTTGTCAAAATCAGAGCGAGAGTCTATTATATTAAATGACGCAAGAGGAATACAACATCCTTTCTATTACGTAAGTCAGAGTAAAGATGGTAAAATATACGTAAGAAAAAGAAAGGTTCCATTAGCGAATGCAGAAAGCGACAACATTAAGGTGCATGGCAAGGGTGAAGTCCACGAAGCCCATATAAAACCTTCTATTCAAACTGAAAAGTCAATAGAACCAGAAGAAAAGAAGCCAGATGTTCTTTCAATAACGAACCAAGAGCTTATTGCAAAGTTCGTGAATTTCATTGAAAAACAAACCGAGTCAAAGAACCCTGACCCACCAGTGAAAGAAGTTGAGACAAAAGAGAATGTACAGTTCATTGAAAATGTCAAGAAACAACTTCCACCACGAATGCCAAGAAGAAGAGTGAGAATAATGAAGTAAATAGATATTTTTATCTGAAGTAAATACATGCAGAACGAACAGTTAAACGAATTTACTCCAGCAGAGCATATTCATCAGATTCGCTCATATTTCGATATCATAGACAATGCAGTTCAAATTGGTGACACTAATAGAAAATATTCTGACGCAAAGATTCCATCACAACCTGGAACTGCTAAAGATAACACATGGGTAACATTCAATCTCTCACCTCCTGGTGAAAATATGTTGGACCTTTACAATACATTCATTACGTATAAAATGGAAGGTCAATTTATTGTAGATAAAGAAATTGGTTCAGGTTCCAATAAAACAAACCCACCAGGATTTTGGATTGGTTTCGATGACGCTTTCTATGCAGTTGCTGGATATCAAATCCTTGCAAATGGTCGTATCGTATATTCTCAAGACAACGCAAGAGAAGAAGCATATATAACTTCAAACTCACAAACTACCGAACAAATAAAGAAAGTAGATGTTTTCTCAAAGACTCGACATGAAAGTTATGGAGTCATTCGGGAACATGCAGAACAGGACAAATTGTTAGTGGTCCAATTACAGCAGGAAAATCATTTGATTTTAAGCTTCGTTTAAGAATTCCTGTTAGAAGATTCCTTCCATTAGAAGCTATTCGATTTATTCCAGCTTTTGCAGGAAACATTCAGCTTAAAGTAAAGTTCAGTAGCGACGCCTTACAATGCACATCTATATCTGTAAATGATATCATTGCTTTCAATCCAACTCTTAAAGTTGCATTTGCTTCAGATTCAAATCCACCGACAAATAAATTTGTTCCATGGAATGAACCATTCACTATGATAACGAAGGCAGTAGAAGCTAGTGGAACAGTTACTATTACAACTGTAACCCAGCAACTATTTCGAACAAAGATGGATTTTAATGAATGTTTCATTCATCCAAAGTCATTCTCTTTAGACCCTAACATTTATACAGAACTTGTAGAACATTATACAAACGAGGCTTTATGTTTTCCTGTTAAAGTTATGGATTGGATTCCTATGGACGGTTCATTCTCAAAGAATACAGATAGTTCAAGTGCAACATTTACAGCAGCTTATACGCCTATTAATGTTAAAAGTATTTGGGCACTATTTAGAAAGAAAGACAACTATTATGTTAATTTTGAGAACCCTAAGTTTAAATATCTTCAGCTTTCCATGGGAGCTTATGGAAATATGCCTGCAGAACCTGAAAAATCATATGGACCTGTATTTTATGAAATGGTTGCGAACGCTTGCAATACAAACAATGATATGATAGGATTTAATGAAGATGTTATGAGGTCATTGGTGGATGATGGTAGTGTGGAACATAAATGGGATAGCTATGACAACACACATTTCTTATGTGGTTTTCCAACAGAAGTGGACTTTTGCTTCCAGCAAGGTCAAACATCTACTGCTCCAATAACATACAAATTGTCTGTTAAAGGACCTATTGAACTAGCAACTGAAAATGTACCAAAGCCACTTATTGGATTTATGAGGGATTGTTGCTTTGCATTCAGTAAGACAGTCAGGCATACCAATAATAAGATTGACGACTATAACTTAGCACGACGACAGTGAGGAATAAAGGATGAACGTTTATTTTTAAAGCTTATAAATGAGTTCTTCATCAAGCTCTCGTGAACCTTCACCATCTATGAAACAAACTTTACCAAACGATTATGGAGCACCTATTGAATATTTCTTACGAGCTGCACAATGGCAAAGAGCAGTCTCACCAAGGTTAGGTGTTCCACCAGCTCCTGTCAAAAATAGCATTTGGTCAAGTCCTTATATAAGATATGGTCTCCCACTAGGTTTGCTAGCTACAGCAGGAGCAGTTATGATGTTGAAAAGAAATAAAGCAAATGTTGTAAATAATACTGAAGTAGTTGAAGTTAAACAAACTCCAACACCTTCGCCAAAACCAACGCCTTCACAAGCAAAACCTTCAATGACTCCTGAACCTATGGAAGTACAAACTCCTGTTCAAAAGTCAACTCCTAAACCGACTCCAACATTTAAACCAGAACCTACTCCTCAAATAAATCGTAAAACTCCTGCGTTTCCTTACTGAAAAAATAACGTTATTTTTATTTAATATTAAAATTTTTATTTGATTGAAATGACGACTAAAGTCACTGAAGCAATGAAACAAAAGTTTTTGGTAGAATACATTAAATCAGGAACTATTCCAGAAGGTTTTTACATTCATACTATGAAGGATGGTAGAGTTCAGTTTAGAAAGATAAAGCAACCATTAGATAAAGAAGGAATTTTGAGAAAGATTAAACTTCATGAGGACAACATTGCTAAACTTAGGAAGAAGTTAGAAGAGTTGGAGAAAGGAAGAGAGTTATAAAGCAATGAATTCAACAGGGTGAAAAAAGAGGTGAAAAAACAGGTGAGATCTCACCACTTCACCTAAATCTATTTTTGTGCTATGTTTTCATACGTGTGAGGGTGGTGATATCATTAATTTTTAAGTTTATTTTTAAGTTTATTTTTATATAAATGACGAAAACTATTGAGATAACAAACTACAACGGTCATGAGTTCAAGAATTTGTTCTTCGTTCCTCGTGAAAATACATTCTATCAGATACGAGGGAGAAAGGGTAAAGTTAGTTTGAGCGTTTATGACTACAAGCATAATGGAAAGTTTATACAAGCATATGATACAAACGATAAGCGTGTTTCATTAGCTTTGTCAAAACTTACAGGTATAAACTATGACAGTGATTTTGACCTATATGAAGAAGAAAGTGAGTCAGAAGATTATGAGCTGTTATATGAAGCACAGCAATGGGAGGAGTTGCAATACTTTTGTAAGTGAGAACGTTTATTTTTTTACATTAGTGAGGTGAAGTGGTTTGTGAAAACGTTAGTGAGGTGAAGTCGTTAGTGGCTTTGTAAATATTTAAGGTTAAGTTGGTGTTGTCGTTTGTGTTGTAAAATATACGTTAACGGTTTCGTAAAGTGTCAAATTCACATATAATGGGTAAGGAGGCGCGCAGTGCCTCCGTACCCATGATATGTATACTAACTTTCCCCTCTTCCAAATTGGAAGTTTCTTCCACATTTCAGATGGGCTATAGTGAATTTGTTTTCTATTCACATAATGAGTTGGTAATGCTAGATGAGGTTTAGCATTATAGTACTCAACCCATTGTTGAATCTTTGCCCATGACAACTCTCTGCTCTCTATGTTAGGCCACAAGCGCTCGATTTTCCCATTTTGGTATGGGCAATGGGGGA